TTTAATTAATAACGGTAATTATTAGCTGGCGAAATTAAACTTGATTGGGGATGGGGAAAAAAGAAGGAAAAAGGGAAAAAAAATACTGGAAAACACATAATTACCTTCTGTGTATCCCATGATAGGGTGAGGGTAGTATGATGTTTGAAAGACCAGAAGCTGCCCAATGATCCAAATCAGAACTCACTGACGACACCCTCCAGCACTAAAGAGCATATATTCAAAGTATCCGTGATAATATATCACATATATCTACACAGCAAAGCAGATTGTAAGGAGAAACAAAAAGGAAGGGACTTTCATATAATATGGAGATACTTCTGTGTCTGGAGAAATCATGTTTAAGTCTCCAGATTGAAACGGGCCAGATTCTTCTATGTCTCAGACTTGAAGATATTCCACAAAAGGTAAACAGCAAGTCATGGGATTTTCCAAATTGAGGAGAGCAAGATAGAGTTTCATTCTCTATCAGGGATAGATATATTCTAAAAGAGAAACGGCAACATGGACTTGTAAGCTGCTTGGAGTGGGGTTCCAGATTTAGTCTCTGCTTGGGCTATAGTAAACCTGGGCTAAAGGAGGCAACCTTTTGTTTCGGCTGCTGTAAACAAAACTAAATTTGACTACTGCCGATGTCACTGTATTGTGGTGATCATGTTCATGTGCCACACCTCCGCTTTCTTTAATGTCATTGGTTCATAAATATATGATACTTACTATATGACAATTTTTCCATCGCACATTATTTGAACTTTTCTCTAAAATCACGGATTAGTCCATTTCCTGGTCAATCTAGTATTTTAGTATCTTTCTAATATTTTTTGGCGCCAAGGTCACCTGAGCCTATGCATACCTATATAAACTCTCCCGCTGTTAGCCAACAGTGGTATCGGTTCAATTCTCTGAATATACGGCACGGCGCGATATTACTTATTATAAACATTTTAATTCTTAGTTATTACTCATTCGAGTAATCTTATTAACTTCTATTAATATCACTTGTGCACATTACATCTTTTCACACTCACAGACTGTGGAATTATTCTTCATTGAGTTAAGAAAATTAATTGAACTTTATAATTAATTAACATTTAATATTGTAACTCAACATTACTTAACTGCGTTCACCCTTTTTATTACAGACAAAAGGGAAGTAACTTTTTCATGCTTATTGTTGATGTTTGTATATTGTTGTTATAATACAAATATTTATTTAATTTTCATGGAGCTTGACTTATTTCTCTCATATATTCTGTGCATATTTCATGTGGAGTGTTGTTTATAAGAACACAACTTTCCTTCTTGATTGCTATTACATTTCACAGTGACCCTAGCCAACATATCTTACAACACTACTACAGTATCAAGTGACGTTATTAAACAGTCCGTCACTTGACTTATCTCTATCAAAGGCACATATTTCCCTTTTTATCCCTACAGCAGAAACTGAAGACAAAATAAGCAGGTAAAAGCAGCACAAGGACAGGATATTGTGGAGAGCCATGTTCACCTATGTTCTGAAGATGAATATCAATGAGAAAGAGAGAGAGAGGGGTCAGGTTCTTTTCTGTACATTTGTCAATTGTAATGACATCAGCTAAAGTGAAAAAAGCCCATGATGCAAGTTACACAGTAGTGGGTGCAGGAATTTGAATATCTAGAAAGTGCTTTAAAAAAAGGGACAAAAAATATGACACCGAGATCTGCACATGCATTAGAGACTAGTGAAAGAAGAATTCCTAAAGTTAAGCCAAGTGGTAAGAAAAGGGGAAAATCTATTAGAGAATAGAAAAGAGTGCTGGATTACTATGCAGTATGTGACAGTGATATTGGAAAATCTTCTCACAGATGAGGAAGAGAAAACCAGAAGCAACAGAAATGTGGTTCTACAGAAGGGTACTGAGAATTCCATAGATGGAGTGAGTTAGCAACAAGGAAACCTTAAGTAAAATAGCAACAGAAAAACACTTTAAAGTCAGAAGAAAAAAAAACAGCTGAAATTCCTTGGTCATATAATGAGGAAAGGGAGCTTGGAAAACTTAAAACTCACAGGGCATATTGAGGGCAAGAGAGCGAGCCTGACGGGCTTGTGTGAATAGATAATGGTATAAGAAGTGGAAGCATTAGCGAACGGAGAAAAATTACTAAGGTTCAAAAAGTGTTGGAAATTGTGGAGAGCCATGATCGCTTATCGCTTGCGGGGACGCGACTCAGAAGAAGAGTAATATTTTACGTCATCACAACTTTTAATTAAGGGAAATAACTAAAGGAAGTCATAACAAATAAAGGTAGAGTTCTCCCCCTTGAAATAGAAAATGCCAATATTTTTCTAAATGTTTTTTTAAAAAGTTTGCTGCCCACCCAACAAAAAAACAATAAAATACCGATATGATAATGTTTAAAATGCATTTTAATAAACAAAAAAGTTTTTCTTGACACTTTAGTTTTTGTTTTATTTTTAAGCTAATAGATTAAATATTTTCAATAAGTAATACTTTGCTGTATTTCAAAGTGAAATCATTAAATAAATTGATTGGAAACATTTTTCTAATTATCATTTAACGATGATAACATTGAAATTCGTCCATATTGACAAATCTGTCAACAGAGCATAATTCTCTTCATTAAAAACTCTCTGAAAAATGAAATATACTTTTCTGAACGTTATTTGAAAAACATTAGCTGATTTTATTCGCTTAATCTGAATGTAACCAAAAAAACCGAGAGAGAAGGCCGTTTTCTTTGTCGATTAAAACGTGATATCACCACAAATCGCAAAAGTCAAAGTGAAAATGTATAGACATTTTTTGTTTTTAATTATAGAAACTTTTTAAATTAAAATTAATAAAAGAAGAAACCAGGGTTCGAATTTCATTTTAAAACTTCTGTTTTATAAATTAAAGAAAAAAAAAAGCAAACAATAAAAAAAAAAGTTTTATTCCGTAAAGTTACAACACTGACAATTTGAAATTGACAATAATTTTTTCATAATGAGTCGAAGAAAAGCAAGCCCGGGTTCGATTTCTACCTTACAACTTTTTAAAGAAATAAATAATGAACAAACAAAAAATAGATTTAAAATCCGATTTTATTTTAATGATTATTCCATAAAGTTACTGTAAAAATATAAAATATTTTTTTTTGTATTGCATTTGAAAAGAAAGAAATGAAACTTCGATTTTTAAAAAAATCGACATGGTTTTATTTTTTATTAATTTTCATGTTTTGTTTTTTATTTATTCTGTAGTAGTAAAGTTACAATATTGAAATTTTGTTGTGTAGAAAATAAAAGACAAATTTTAAATAACTGTAAAAAAAATGTTACATTGGTATATAAGAAATTTAGCTGAAGATTTGAAATATTCTTTTTTTGCCTAACTTATTTCTAGAAATATTATTATTTTCCCTAGCACATAAAATAATCAAAAGACATTTTGTAGAGCTCTAGACAAGGAATATTTTCAAATTTTCAATACTGTGACCCTCGACACAAATTTTCACATGAAAAAGATGATAATTATCTGCGAAAACATTCATGCTTATGTCCATGGTTAATTTCCTTTGATTTTTACTGAATGAAAAAAACAAGAATTTTCTGTTAATTTACCAATAATTATACAATTATAGAGAACAACATTTGTAGCAGTGTCATATAGCAGAGAATCTCTATCTCTTTTAGACTACACGTTTAACTATGTGAAATAAATCCTCAGCTTCAAGTCATTTAGTTGGCATTATGCATAACATCATCATTGTATCATGAGAAATCACTTAATCATAAAAGTAGAAGCCCTTGTTTCAGACTCATTTGCTGTTGTTAGCTAAACCAACATTAACACCTTTATAAATAATCAAACTAAGTTTTAGGCGAATTTCATCTACAAGTAAACTGTTATTTCTTAATCATTGAGAAATGCACAGGGAAAATTCAAAAGTATTTTAGTTTCTAAATGGTTTTAAATTTTCATATTGAATTTTAGAACACCTACAAAATTTATTTTATCAATCTAAATGAATTTTTTATAAAAATAAGGATAGCATTTTTTTAAATGAAATTCTCCCCATCATTACATTTGGAAACTTTCCCTCATTGTATTTTCTTTTTTACTATCTTAGATTTTGACGAGCATTTTAAAATAGGGTGCAATTGACCCTTTTAAATCATTTTTTTTTTTTAGGTATGTGAACTGCGTTTACGACCTGAGGACATAAGACAAGAAACATTAGTATTCGATAAGAAAACACAATTATTACTGTTGTTAGCCTTCAGAAAGCTGTTCTTCATGTAGTTGCAATCCCTAGAATTTTACCATACTTTCGCTCATCATAATTAACGAACCCCTCTCTAGAGACCAGAAAAATTTGACTAGAGAATTCTGCCCTTAAAAGAGCTTTGGATCAACAAAGTATTGCTGATGACTTGGAATACAAACAGCAGAGGAAAACTTCACAATGCGTCCGCTAGCGCCTCCTTGTTATCATAGAGATGAAAGCAATATTCAAATTATTTTTACACTCATACCTAAAGTTATTTTGCGATGAAAGGTGAATTCAGTGTAACATTTAAAATGTAATTTGACAAGTGTAGGGGCTGGGCGTTAACAAAACAGGTTGTTTCCAAAGCGGGTGGTCGGGGAGCTCTCGTTGAAAAAATGTTGGTGAAGATGTGAGATACACAAGCAAACTAAACAGGAAGCTTAAATCTCTTCGTATCATTTTCATTTATAATTCATATTATTGTCGTTTATCACTTTCGTTATAAGAAATCAAATGTCCTCCATTGTTTGTTAAATTGAATCCATATCAATCCTCCAATTAAATGCTTTCCAGAAAGATCTCGCTCGATGATTGTAATGGAGTTTTTTTGACATCTTCATTCATTTCACCTCGGCCAGCCCAATCAGACATACGGATTTGAAGTGTTCAACAAGTGTGTAAACATTGTCAACTGAATTCGAGTTTTCATTTTGATCAAATTTAGATTCTGGTTTGGTTCATTGATGCATCTTCTTAAAGGTTAGATCTTTTTCTTTTATGTTCTTTTGTTTAGTGAAGCATCGGGATGGCAGTTTGAATAATAAAAAAAGACATTTTATTTTCACCAACTCCAAAATTTGTCACCTCGAATTGCTATTGCGTCATCAGCTATTTAAACTTCTTAAAAAAAATTAACTGAAATTATAAACGCCACTTTCAGAACAAGAAAAAATTAGACAATGTTAACGAAAAATCTTTTATTTGTGTTCTTTAACTTTTAAACTTCACCATTTGCGTACCTCCACTAAATTTTTAATACCTCAGGCAGGTACGTATCACATGCTCGCTGCTTAAAATAAAAAAAAAAAAATAGCGTAGCCCGATGAAGAAAAAACAAACAAAAAAACCTAAACTTAATAAAAACAAAGTTTTATCATAAAAATGTTTGCTACTGTGTGTGTATGCCTGTATGTAAAATGTGTGTGATCGGATGTTGTTTATGCATTTTTAGTTTTCATTCGATTTTGATTTTTGATTGATAATTTTTAATTCTTCAATGGCGGTTTTGAGTCCAAATTCCCTTTCCTTTCGCCAAGCATCTCTTTCAAGTGAGGTTACTTTTTATAAAACCTACTACTAGAGTTTTAAGGCGTTGTTTTCATTGTCGTTTCCAATTTTATTTTATTTTTATTGTCCTGCCAGTTTTTGCATTGCATTCACCGTAGTACTAATTATTTATTTGTACGTTTGTACCAAATGAGGCACAAGGCCTAAAAGGGGGTTGGGGAAGGACGGTCTTCTTCTGTCTTAATTAAACTTAGCTAGTCACAGACATGGACCCAAACATACCAACAATAATAGTCCTATCACCAAACCAACACATTCACTCCTACCTTTCTTACTGCGTCCACCATAATACCTCAAATTCTCTATGAAATCCTAGTCCCCATATTCACCGTAGTAATAAGTAAGCTTGCTTTCTTTCTTTTCTAAATTTTTCCAACCTTTTCTAAAGCCATTCGAGCTTAGTGATCCCTGAAGCTTTACGCATTCCATAACAATTCATTGCCTAAGCCATGCCACCAAAGAAAAGAACTTACCTAGGTCGTAAAACCGCTGCTGCCAGGCCCGGCATGCGAATAAGAGTTAATAATGAATCGTCTTTAGAACGTTTAGTTGGCCAATCTCAAAATTGTACTCGGTATGCTTCAATCAGAGCCACAGGGAGTCCGAAGACCAACGTAGCCATTGGTTTTCCAGAAGAGCATAAAAAGCTTCTGATGAGAAACGCATGAGGCTGAAACCAGATTGAGAACGCAAAAACGGCCCTTTTCAGTAATGAAAGCGTCGGCCGAAGCCTTGTTATACTGCTAGTTATTCATAAAAGCCATTTAAAAGCTTTTCTACTTAAATAATGTCTTAGTTTTATTATGTTTCGTATTTTACAACTCAGAGCTGAAGTTTGGCTAGCTGTGTATTTATTTTACAAAATAACCGATGATCTATTATTCAAAGTCTTCTGTTTTTTAACTCTTAGAGAATCACTAAAAAGAATGGTAAGCTGTCGAGTTTTCATGAAATTAAAGAAGGGAGGGTAACAGACGTAAAAACAAACACACATCTAAAATAATTTCATTCTTTTTGATTTTGACTAAGTTAAAATTCAACAATTATTTGATTTTTTTTTTTTTTTTTTGCAAGACTTAGCAAATCAATGTGTTTTTCCACCTTAAAAAAAAAGAAAAAGCCACTATAAAAAATAAAACAATTCTGCATAGCTTTAGTATTTACCCGAGACCTCCCCAACAAGGTGGGATGTGGCACAAGACTTTTTTTTTTTTTTTTTACGTGCGCATTTCCGAGCCCATTGGCTCGGGTAAAAATTGCCCTTAAACCCCGTCAGGTTGCTGTCTAGCTCCTCAAACGAGACCTGTCCTCGACATAGCCTCGTCTGGGTTCCTCTCTGCCGAAAAGAAGGGGAAGATTCCTACTCCTCATTAAAGACTAAATAAATCGTATTTAAAAAAAAAAAAATAAATCGTAATTATTACGTCAGCCGCTGATGTAAAAAAAAAAAAATCTTTTAATCAAGATTTCGAACGCGTTAGAAAGGATGAAAATAAAAATACAGGGTGTCCATAAAGTTCGTGTGCACTTTAAAAAATTTATAACTTTATTTGTGATAGAAATAATTTGTAAAAAATGTTATGAAGTTTAATGTACCTAGTTTTAAGTACTATAGCTAAAATAACTGATTTCAAGCATATAAATCAGTTGGCAAATGTTTTCCGTGAACTACAAAAAAATCTTATTTTTAATGATGGAGGACTTGTGGAAACTTAAATAAAATTTCAATAAAAGAAAACCTTAAATATAGATTTACAGAATCCTTTTTACAAATTATTTCTATTACAAATACTTATGTTTTTTAACATGCACACCCTGTAGTTCGGTTTTTCCTCTTACTTTTTGTTAGGTACCTCCATGAGATCGATAAAAAAAAAAATGAGCATAGTAGCATGATGAAAAAAACGCCAATCTTGAATAAACAAATTTATCGTCTAAAAATGTTTATTAAGAGGAAAGACCAAAGTATTTAATTATTTAAAATTTTTCCTTTTTAGAACATTCTAAAATTTTGAATAAAAAAAAAAACATGTTTCTCTGTATCACCGGACCTACTTTTTTTTTTTTTTAATTAATTGCAGAAATAAAAATGTCGGATGTTAAAACTTTCAGAACCTATTCACAAGGGGTGGAAATTATTATAAAGGTTTTTTGGGGTTTTTTACGTTTTTTTTTTTCTTTTTCTTACAGCATTGTAATTTGTATTGCTTCAACCAATCAGAAAACCCGCAGTAATTAAATGTAATTTTGTGTTTATAAACAGCTGTAATTAAAAAGTACGGAAGACTAGCAAGAATACAATTAAGTTGTGTTATTTGAGTTAAGCATTGTTTTTTGATGTTCATTAAAGCCTTGAAGATTTTGCCGAAGACTGGTAGACTTAAAGAACTATAGTTAGGTGGGTTAGAAGGATCACTAGAGTTACAGAGAATATTTACCCAGATTTTTAAGGTTACTGAGTAATTAAAAATTATATATAAAAAAAAAAAAACGAGCTCACCTGTTATTTTTCATTAAATTCTCTTTGAATCTTTTAACATATCAAGAACAACAATAAAATTGCAAACACCTTCAGAACTTATCGACATTATCAATTGTTAATTATATAAGAAATTTAATTTGCTTATATTTGTTGTAACTCCTTAACTTGATAAATTGTAATTTTTGTTGTCTAATTAATGAAAAGGATATTGTGAACATACGTGATACTAGCCTAGGCTTTTGCCTGACTGCTCATGATTACTCAGTGTTGTATTCCAATTCGCAATATCTTAGGTGACAATGTCAAGAAATAAGTACGTGAACCATGTTTCCTGTATTATATTTAGATATGTCTCTCTAAGATAAGATATGATTACTTGCGTTATTAGGATTGTTATCCTCATTTTCATTGCCATGTCCACAATGTTTCAGCCATTGTATGCTCCAGCCTTCTTCAGGTGATTGGAATTTTGAACAGAACCTTTTATTTTGTCCACTGGAGTAGATAATTCTAGTTCTACATGCCATGCCTCTTCTTGATGTCTTAGTTATTTCCCTTTAACTCAACTCTCCAAGTTTTGGTTCACCACTACTGTGGCCTGGTATTAAGTTACAACTCTTTGACTCTATTCACTGGATCTAACCGTCGTCTTTATCCCCTGGTCTTTGAGGACATCTGTGTATGAATTTTTGGGACTTATAAACTTAATGTCTCAGCAACCTTCTTTTTTTTTTTTACCAGATCTTGTATTGCAATTTTTGTTATTTATTGCATTTCTCTAGCACTCCTTATGGTTCCCATATTGTATTCATTTCTATGCTTGGTCAGCTCAGGAGATTTTTATGGCCTACCATATATGCTGATTCCTTAAGTTTTAAGAAAGGAATTGTCCACTTCTTACAACATAAAGCAAAAATCATAAGTGTCAACCCAGAAATATACGAACAAGAAATGGTCAGCGTAATAAGCAGTACTCTACAACATAACAACTACCCTGGATACATGGCAGCAACTCTAACAAACTAGGATAGGTTAGAAAAGGATAACAGCACTCAAACAGCTTCAGTCTGCCTACCCTATGTGAAGGATTATCAGAAAATACAAAGGATCTGTGATCCATATATCATCAGAACAATCTTCAGAAGTAGTTAAACACTTTGCAGACACGCCTTCCAAGTAAGAAATAGGGAACATGACTAAAGACTTTGTATGCCATCCTGTGCAGCTGTGGTAAGGAGAAACGGACCACCTACTTAAGGTAAGACTACAAGAATATTGTAAAGCAGTAACACAAGGGGGAAATAGAAAAATCTGGTGTAGCTGACCACATATGGAGGGAACAAGGAGATCACCACCTACTGTGGGATGATATTGAAATAATATATACAGAGGGCATCACTAGAAAGTACAAAAACTTAAGGAATCAGCACATATGCTAAGCCACAAAAAATCTCCTGAGCCAACCAAGCATAGAAATGAATACAATATAGGAACCAGTAATCAGGAGTGCTAGAGAAAAGCAATAAATAACAAAAAAAATTGCAATATAAGCTCTGGTAAAAACAATGGTTGCTGAGACATTAGGTCCCAAAATTCAGATCAGTTCAGAAAAGAGGTTGGTTAGATCCAGTGACTAGAACAAAGAGTTGTGAGTTCAATGCCAGGCCACAGCAGTGGTGAACCAAAATGTTGAGTTAAATGGAAATAACTGAGACATCTGGAAGATGCATGGCATGTGGAACTAGAACAAGGATAAGTCTGAATAATGTAAATAATGCAATTTATATTTAGATGTTTTATTCAGAGTTTCACCTGCTCATCCAAGTGAGTAGGTAGGTGATATATGGGACAACTTCTGCTATGTCAGCTCTTCCCCTCCTCCAGTACTCTCTTCACTTTTTGTTGATCATTAGTGTTTCTGTTAGCAAATATTCCACACCCTGTAATCCTTTCTTGTGTCATTACTGTGTTATATTTTTATTACTGTTTTGCTTGGGTTGATTCCAGTTGAAGGGAAAAAAAGATGTCTTCCAAAGAATTTTTTTATTTTGTCTCACCTGAATTCTTTCAAGATTAAAAGTAATTTGGGTGTGTTCACGCAGGGTTACCTGTTGGAAATCAGTAAAGACACCAAACAATGTTAAATAAAAGAAAAACTAAAGTCAGCAAACAGAAAAAGTCTAGTTTTAAATTAATTCCTATAAATAAATTGTTGAAAAGTCATCATCTAGACACAAAAAGCTACACTATCATTTAGTCACTTTTATTGAAGTTATTTAAAAAAAGTCTTTGTAGAATTTGGGTTTCTGAAAAGACAAACTGCCCCCCCCCAACTCGGTCACGATGTGTGATAGGAAAAAGAAAGGACGAAACAAAGATGAAATTCTTGTATCCCCCACACACACACCACTTTTCTTTTCTTTTTTTTTAATCAAGTAAACTTCATAAAATTTGATTCCTAACTGTAGGCAGACAGTAAGGTGGATGTATTAAGACATTACTGACGTTATCCTTTGATGTCTGTCTGACGAGGTTAGGAAAAGCAAACAAAGTAACAAATAAAAATGGCAGTTGGCAAATCTGTTAGAAGAAAAAAAATTTCATTTCAAAATTGGAATTTCTCTTTCAAGTAAGCCATTTTGTTTTTTCCATTAAATAAGCCCCTCTACTTCAACCAATGCATTTATCCACTGTGTCCTTGGGGATATCAGTGTATTAATATTTGGAACTATAAACCTAATGTCCAGGTAACCTTTTTTGTACCTGACCTCATATTACAATTTCTTAGTTTATTATTGCTAGCACTCTGTATTACTGGTTCCCATATTCATATCTGTGCTTAGCTGGCTTAGGAGAATTTTATGACTTAGCATATGTGCCAATTCCTGAAAGATTTTGTATTTCCCAGTGGTGTTCAACCACATCCCACAGGGCATGGCAATCTCCCTTTTCCATATATATATATATATATATATATATATATATATATATATATATATATATATATATATATATCAGCCATGCCTGATTTTTATATTTCCCCATCGTTTACAGCTCTGTACTTGCAGTCTTATCTCAAGAAGGCAGCCTGTTTCTGCTTTATATTTCTGGCCACAGCTGCATGGAATGGTGTACACACTGTCCTTAATCATGTTTTTTCTCCATGAAGGTCATCCTGATGTCAGATTGACCACAGATCTTTTGTAATTTTTCCAATAATCCCTTCTTATAGGGTAAAAGCTGAGAGACTGTTTTCTGAGTATTGTTATCCTCTTGTACCCTTCTATCCCAATTTGTCGAAATTGATGTCCTGTACTTAGGGTACTTATGTTGTAGGGTACTGCTTATATTGGCCATTTCTTGTTCATATGTGTCTGGTTGCTACATGATGTTTCCTCGGATGGTCCCTTGCTTACGCTGTGTGGGTGGTGAAACTGAGGTATTGTCCGGTGAATGTTGGCTTGTCTTGAATCCATGCTCTGTTTGAAATCCTAGATGTGGAACTAGAACAATCTATTCCAGTAGAAAAATAAAGTGTTCAATTCAAAATTCCAAAATGTATCATCGGAAGAAAGTCTGTGTGTACAACGGCCAAAATATTGTGAATATGACAATAAAGATGATGAACAGTTCAAAAAATGTAAATAATTTATTTTGTTTTAAAACAAGTGTTTTTCTCTTTTCAGTAATCTTGTTCCTGCTGGTAAGTTTTTGTTTTTTTTTTGTTTTTTGCTTTTTTGTTTGGTTTTGTTTTACAACAGATTATAAGACAGGGAATCTTATTTTTTTTTTTTTTCATCAAGCTTTTATAAACCAAGACATTCATTTTCCTCTTTTGAAATGTACTTTTTAAACCTACAACTCAAGCTCAATGATATTTCAATAAAGTTAACTTGTATGAAATTCCTCATGAAATAAATAATAGAATTTCAATAAAAATAAATAAATACTTGTTTATTGTATGTTGGTTGTGTTAATAATAAATTGAATTTATCCAAAGGGAAATAAAGCCACTTTTTTTTTTTTTTTCAGTTCGTTGACTGTACCTCCGAAAATGGTAAAGTTTTAAATACTTCTTCATTAATGCTACAGATATTTCGTAAACTTGGCATGGGAGTTAAAAAAATTTTATCTCTAAACGTATGAATAGTTGTTCATACATAGAGTATTACTTTCATTACCAGGGAAATTTAAACATTTTATTAAAAATAACTTTTATACAGAATTGAATAAATGACCAAAATTCATTTTATTATATAATTTGGAAGTCTTTAAATAAATGACACTATTATTTGGAAATTAATAATATAAAGCAACTTTATGGATTACTTTTATTTTTCATTGTTAAATAAATAATCCAGGTGATGTGAAATATGCTTTTCTTTTTAAAATTTTTGAATAAATGACAATATTACCTGAAAATTAATATAAAACAACATTAAAATGAATAGATTTTACAACTTTTAAAAAAGTTAATCTACTTTCTCTCTTTTCGAGGGATAAAGACATGCTCTACATGGAACCTTCAACTTGCAGTATATACCACTAAGAAATATTTCTAGTTATCTAGTGATTTATTTGAGTTTTATGTTATTTCAATTTTCTTTTCCTTCTTGTCAACTTGTTACTAGAACTATCATTGCTCAACAACAATTAATAATACCCACGTATATGCTAACTTTTTGAAAAATCAAAATCATTGAGAAACAAGAGAATAATATTTTTTTTTTTTGTTCCTCTCTCCCAGATTCATCCTCAATTATAGAGTACATTTCTTCCCAAAATGTATTGAGTAAGTATGTTTTCTCAATAGATGTTGATTGTTTCTTCCAATTTCAGTACTTTTTCAATATTATAGATGTTTAGATGTCAACTCATTGTCATCTTTTTATTTTGTGTTATGAATTCAAAATGCCTTCTGTTGGAAGGCACCATCTAGAGTTTTAATGTGTCAGACCTCAGCTAAACTCTTGAGTCATATCTCTCTTGAAATAAAAATAGTGTTTTAAAACTATAAATATTGTTGAGGAATTATACAGTAATAGGTGTAATAGGTGTCAAACTCTTCTTTTTGACACTCCCTTGTTTGTTTATTTTTTTTCATTAAACTTTGCCTTTTTGATATTTTTTTTTTTTTTTAGGTGGGTTTACTTTCATTAAACTCTGCCATTGAGTGCATATATGTATCTTATTTTTGTCATTGAAATAATGGAAGCCAACTTTTTTTCAGATAATGAAGAAATAAAGTGGAATAAAACCAGAGATTTAAATGGGATTTACGATGTGGTCTTGCTTATATACTTCAAGACTCTAACTCAAGCTGGTGAAGTTACATTTTCTGTTGGAGAAGGTGACACGATAAAAAACTACACTGCTTCTATTGTAATAGATGTTGATGATAAAAATCTTTCATCCTTTCAGATTCACTTAGAGCAAATTAAGATTAACAATGAAAAAGAAATAAAATTATTATACCAAGGAAATAGAAGCTTAGAAATAAAAGAGAAGCCACGTAGTCAGATCACTTTAACTAAGATTAGCCAAATAAACCAAACACCAGCCCATGAAACAAATGTGTACATCACTATCAGACCCAACAATGAAGATAAAGCTGGTGTAGCAAGCTCTGGCAATATCAACAATTTGAGCATTTGGTTAATATTTAGTATCTTACCTGTTGTGATGTTTTACTTACTGCACATGTAAAGGATAAATTAAAGAGAATTTTTATAAATGTTATACTATGCTTCAAAGTATGGATGTGAATGCTTCACAAAAAACACTTCATCAAAAGTTGAAAATGAATTCCTGCTCTCTATAATTTGAACTTTTTGATTGACTCAGCATTAAAACCTGTTGACCAGATGTGAATGCTTCAAAAGTAGAGACCTTCACAGAAAACACTTTATGAAAGATTCAAAATGAATTTTTCAAAAATGAAAAATTTCTTGAAGTGTTGATTTTAGTTTTGATATCAAGATTATAGATTAAATTTTATATTTTCAACATGCAAAATGCTTTCAATTTCAAAAATGAATTGAAATTGGCTTAAAGGTTGTGGGTTTTTTTGTTTTTTTTTTTAAGAAAATGGTGGTCACCTTTTTATATAATTTTTAAGCACTCTGCAATCTTCAAAATAAATATTCTTCATAATGTCTTTTTTTAAGAAAATGATGATCAACTTTTTATATAATTTTTAAGCTCTCTAATCATCAAAATAAATATTCTACATAATGTCTTTTCTTTTTTTCAATAAAATGGTGATCACCTTTCTATATAATTTTTAAGCACTCTGTAATCTTCAAACTAAATATTATTCATAATGTCATCTTTTTTTTTTTTTAAAGGAAGTAATTGATCACCTTTTTCTATAATTTTTAAGCCCTCTGTAATCTTCAAAATAAATATTCATAATGTCTTTTTTTTTTTTTTTTTCAAGAAAATGGTGATCACCATTTTATATAATTTTTAAGCACTCTGTAATCTCCAAAATAAATATTCTGCATAATGTCATGTTTACGGGGTGTTTTTTTTTTTTTTTTTTTTTTAACAAAAAATCAATTTTATCAGTCACCAATAACATCCAGCAAAATAACCTCATCAGGTGTAACTGCAGAAACAAAGAAAATTGCCCACTTAACAAATGTTTAACCAATAACATAATATACAAAGCTATTGTAACTAATGACATTAACACAGGCAAAAAATAATTATAAAGGCGTCACAGAAAAAACATTAATATCCTTTGAAAAAAATACGCAAACAATAAAACCCTATCAAAATAAATATTGAGCCAAAAAAAACAATTTCCACCAAGATCAAAGGGGAAATTATAAAAAATGTGGCTACATACAGTACTAGCAGTAGAGCCTGGCGTTGCCCAGAGATGTAACAGTAAGAGATAGATCAAGTATCGACCATCATAAAGACTGAAAAATAAAATTGACAAAGATTATTGTTTAAGGTTGACGGACACGCATGTCTTAATTATTTTTTTTTTTTTTTTTTTTTTTTTTTTTTTTACAAATTGGTCAAACTCAAACAAAAACATTGTTTTCAATCATTATGGATCTACCAATTTAAGAGAATTTTATTATAAACAATTGTCTTGTAAATGGAATTTTTAAAGCATTCTGTATTTAAAAATAAAGAAAAAAGTGTGCAAGTCAATAAGAAACACTACCTGCCAAAAAAAAAAAAGTGAAGTTTTGTTGAAATCGTTTGAAAAATGTAGGAAATCCGATCCCATGTATAAACGAACACACACACACACACACACACACACACACACACAACCTGGGTTTTATAATAAGTATAACTCGATATGAGTTGTTCCCCTTTCATTCTCATGATGCCTCTTAATCGTATTTTCAAATTGATTTTGTGCAAAAACAATTGTGTTTTTTCCAATTTTTGGCACTGTCAGAACCCCCGCAAGGTAATTTTACGTAGTCCTGTGAAGTTTTGTTGAAATCGGTTGAAAAATGTAGGAAATCCGATCCAATATATAAACGTACAGACACACACACAATCTGCGTTTTATAATAAGTAAGATTCACAGTTAAATTTGTAACCTATGCTTTGAGGTAAAATTAGCAATTATTTTTAGAAACCAAAATAAAACTGAAATAATGGGTAAATACTTACCTTGCTATCTAAGCGCTAATTGAAGATAAAAAGCCATTTAAATAAAAAGGAAACATGATATGATATAAACAAATATTTAATTTTTCATCCTCCGTTCTGTTCTGGTCCATGGCAACCAATTGTCGCATTCAAGTCTTTCCCTGATTGTCGAAATGTCCAACACCCTCGGCTGATCAATGAGATGATCGCTTTGATGCAGACTTTGCCTTATCCCACTTTGTGATCATAAGGCTGGCAAAGATTGAATCATCATATTGGGATGGTCCAAGCAGAATGAAGATGCAAGAAGAAAAAATGACTTGAATAAAAAATAAATGTTTTTATATATGTTTCTTTTTGTACAATACTTGGTTAATTTCGTCATTAGAATCTAGCAGTTCTCATATGGACAATTATCAATCCAACCTCCTTCTTAAATTAGACATAACACTTTGGCTGACTTGGTTAAGTTTGGCACAAGGCTGATGTCGGAGGTTCTCTTCAGGTAGATAGGCTCATGAAGTTTTTCTTGTTTGGTGCCTGGAAAAATTCTCTGAATTGTTACTTTGATTTCTCGTATGTATTGGCATTCACCTAAAACTGGCATGGGGCATTGTAATATCACAGCAACAGAAGGGAGATAACCCCTAGAGACACAAGAGTTAGGTTCCCTCCAGACATCCGGTGAATCTTAATCAGCAACTTGACAGCAAAAGGGAATAGGAGGCTACCATCACCGGAGGGACAATCAACAACCATCCTAAAATCCTAGCAAGGCATTAATCGGCGCTAGCAGCATCGATAGCCTCTTCAGCAGAACATTACATTGGCGACGAGGACTGAGTCGTTACCCTCACAAAACAGAACATCAACACACTTAAAAAAAAAAAAAAAATTCAACATGTGTTCGATATATAACCAATATGGCCGCCGCCCACACTACCCCAATTTAATTGTGAGTCAACAGCCAAAGCAGCAAGATGGACAAAATACGTAAAAAGACTGAAAAACTATTTTGTCGCACATAACATTGAGGATGACAAACAGCAAAAAGCAATCCTGCTAACGTTTGTCGGCAAGGCTACAAATGACATCATCGACAAGATACCACAGGAGCGAGTCACATCGGAAAAAAATATGAGAAATAAAAACCTTATTAAGGAGACAGAACAATAAAAGAAGAGAAATTAAGAAGAGACAAGATAAAGATTGTTATAAAGTAATAAAGCCACAAAGACACAAGGGGTTGCTGAGTGTTAGAGAATATGAGAAAGAAAAACACTATTAACAAGAGAGAACAATAAAAGAGAAATTAAGAAGAGAGAAGATGAAGATTTTTATAAACAAATAAAGCCACAAAGTCTCAAGGGATTGCTGAGTTTTAGAGAATATGAGAAAGAAAACTTTATTAAGGAGAGAGAACAATAAAAGGAGAGAAATTAAGAAGAGACAAGATAAAGATTGTTATAAAGTAATAAAGACACAAGGGGTTGCTGAGTGTTAGAGAATATGAGAAAGAAAAACCTTATTAAGGAGAGAGAACAATAAAAGAAGGGAGAAGATGAAGATTGTTATAAACAAATAAAGCCACAAATACTCAAGGGGTTGCTGAATTTTAGAGAATATGAGAAAAAAAACCTTATTAAGGAGATAGAACAATAAAAGAAGAGAAAATAAGAAGAAAAAGATAAAGATTGTTATAAAGTAATAAAGCCACAAAGACACAAGGGGTTGCTGAGTGTTAGAGAATATGAGAAAGAAAGAAGAGAAATTAAGAAGAGACAAAAGATAAAATTGTTTCTAAAGTAATAAAGCCACAAAGAATGAAGGGGTTAATTTCTCTCTCTACAAAACAAAGTAAAATACAATAAAGGAAAGAATTTCAAAAGACAGCTGTTTCTAAGAGAAAAGACCAAATCCTTTCTGATTGGCTATGCTTTCACATCTCCTTTAAAGACTCTCTACAAAACATGTAAGATACAATAAAGGAAAGACATTTCACTTTAGACAATTTTTCTACTTTGTGGCAAAAGACCAAATCCTTTCTGATTGGCTATGAGATCTCCTTTATAAAAGAAATCTACAAAACATAAGAGATACAAGATAAAGACATTTCTTTGACAAAAGACATCAAAAAGATGTAAGATACAATAAAGGAAAGACATTTCACTTTGACAAGATGTTTCTACTTTGTGGCAAAAGACAAATCCTTTCTGATTGTCCTTTATAATTTCTCTCTCTACAAAACATGTAAGATACAATAAAGGAAAGACATTTCACTTTGACAGCTGTTTCTACTTTGTGGCAAAAAATCCTTTCTGACCAAATCCTTCTCTGATTGGCTATGCTTTCACATCTCCTTTATAATTTCTCTCTCTACAAAACATGTAAGATACAATAAAGGAAAAAGACATTTCACTTTGACAGCTGTTTCTAAAAAAGACCAAATCCTTTCTGATTGGCTAGACACATCTCCTATAATTTCTCTCTACAAAACATGTAAGATAAATAAAGGAAAGACATTTCACTTTGACAGCTGTTTCTACTTTGTGGCAAAAGACCAAATCCTTTCTGATTGGCTATTTTCACATCTCCTTTATAATTTCTCTCTCTACAAAACATGTAAATACAATAAAGGAAAGACATTTCACTTTGACAGCTGTTTCTAAAAAGAAATCCTTTCTGATTGGCTTAACATCCTTTATAATTTCTCTCTCTACAAAA